CATAGCAAGGTTTAAAGACAAATACTTGAAGCAGTGTTAATTTAGTCAACGAAGACGACGATGAAAAATATTAGTTAACGAACCTTTTTTCTGTGACTAAGACGAGACGTTGACGAGCTAATATCTGATGATAAAAACTATGATGAAATTTATGCCGTGTCTTCATTAACAAGACGAGACGGGACTAGAATGTTATTTGAGGACTACCGGCCATTCAAAATACATCCTATAGGCTAAGTTAACTGTCTTGTCTTTAAAAATGTGCATCCCTGTCATTGGATTGCAATCGGATAAGGGGTGTTTGCATATCTAGTCTCAGTATGGCAGCCGCAGTGGACGGATAGGGTACCAAAACACGAACTAGCGATCTGAAACAATGGCCTCAGCACCCGAAGGGTTAGGGATAAGGTGGCCAGACGTCCCGTTTTTCCTGGGAGTCACAATTCGTTGTCGATTAACTTCAAGTTAGTGGAGCGGTGGAATCGTGCTGATAGAAGTGCTCTCTCTCGCGCACGCTCCACTTCTTCAGTTCTCATATACAGCGCGTGATCAGTGCTCAGCGCTCAAATACACACACAGCAGTCCAAATGTCTATCGTGTAGAGTATCTCACGTAAATACAGTCGGTTATGGATTAAGTGAACGTAAACAGGTGGGTGAAAACTGAATGTGTATCAGTAATACATGCATGCCTTCCATCTTAAAGGGACAGCATTCCTAATTAAATAGCTATCTGTGTCATTAATGTTAACCAACAAAAGATGTTAAAATAAATGTATACTTGTTAAGTAAACCTACTGTATCTGAAAAATTTGTTTAATTTGTATCTCTACCAAAAATGAAAATTGTCATCAGTTTTTCCAAATTCAATCCTTGATTCAAATTTCTCATAAGCTTAATTGATTTGGTCTAAAGAGAAAAGAATGAATGACTATTTTTGTTTGAAGATTACATATAAAATAGCTACCAAAATAAATGTTGGTAACTGCAGTTTGACTAAAAGTAATGACTAAAAGTTGACAAAAATGCAATGACTTTTCATCGACTAAAACTATGAAAGACTCAAATGACTAAAATGTGACTAAGACTATTAAGCATTTTCGTCTCAAGATAAAGACTAAGACTAAATAAAAAATGCCTGTCAAAATTAACACTGACTTGAAGAATGTTTGTTCTTAAAAAGTGACACTTTTAAAAAATAAAGATTCTTTATTGACATTGATGTTTTTTTTTTTTTTTTGCGGTGATGCGATAAAAGAACCATTTTTTGGTTCCTCAAAGAACCTTTCAGTGAACACTTCTTAAAAGAACCATTTTTATTTAGCGTTATCCACCTGTGATCAGACCGAAAACACAACTTAATACCAGGTGCCTTTTCCATTATAAAGAACCTTTTGTGCAATGGAAAGATTCCATGGATATTAAAGGTTCTTCATGGAATCATCTATGCAAATAAAGAACTTTATTTTTAAGATTGTTGAATCTTTCCATTTCATGAGATGTTCTTTACAGTGGACAAATGTTCTTTAGACTGTTAAAATGTCCTTCACACTAAGAACTGTTCACTGAAAGGTTCTTTGGGGAACTAAAAGTGGTTCATTTATGGCATTGCTGTGAAAACCCCCGTTTGAAACCTTTCATTTTTAAGAGCGTATATATGTGAACCAGGAACTTTCCATTCTGTCCCAGAGTAAAACCCTTCATATCAGTTTGCCATATACCTGCAGTAGCTCTGCTGAATTGCATTGGATCCACTGTGTATAACTTTGAAAGGATCATCGTTCAATGTAGCGCTTAAAAGAAGCTTTTGAATGTACCTACCTTGATATGAAAGTTAAATCTGAGTATATTTTACTCAAAGGCCTTGTTGCTGTGTTTTTGAAAAGCATGAAAGTTCACCCGTGTTCATCAATTCACTTCAAAATCATCACAGTTGTTTTTCCCCCTCTTCCAGGCATCTTGAGCTTCTATCTTTTTTTTGCACATCAATGCATCTACAAGGTCCCGCTGCACAGCACCTTCTGATTTTCCCCATTAAATAATCAAACCTCCTTTGAGAGCATCGTCTTTGTAGTCTCTCTTCAGGCAGGAAACAACACGGAGAGTAAAGGGGGATTTCTAACTCTGCAAAAAGTTGAAAAGTTGACGTGAACTCTTGTAAACCATCATGAATATGCGTATCAATCTGATGGTTATTTTCCTGAGTGACTGTTTGGTGTTTGTGTGCGACTCGAGTGAATGAAACGTGAGAGAAAGCAAATCTGAGTCACTCTTGATGCACTCAAGCTACATTATAGCTCTTATCTTTGAAACAGTTTCTCATTAATTCCTAAAGTTCTGTGTGTAGAAATGAGGGGGAAATTGTCTTTGAAGTTGTGGAGCGTTTCAGGAGACCTGGAGGCCTCAGGCTGGACTTAGCCAGTGTTGAGGTAAATGTTGCTTTGAAAGGGAGTCGTTCCACCCTCCGCTCGGTAGGTCATGATACAGTGACTGCATTTGATTTACACATTCTGTAAACAAAATTCAGATTTGTACCCTGAATATTTGCAACATATCAATGTACAGTGTTGGGGGTAACATATTACAAGTAACGTGAGTTACGTAATCAGATTACTTTTTTCAAGTAACTAGTAAAGTAACGCACTACTTTTTAATTTGCAAGAGAATATCTGAGTTACTTTTTCAAATAAGTAATGCAAGTAACTTACTTTTTTTCCCAATTTATTGATTGACAGCTCTCCTGTCCCCATGTTGAGAGAGTTCTAAAATAAATATGAATATGCATTAATTCATCTCACTCACACAAAAAAACACAGATTCAGTATTCCTCAAAATGAATAAAAATAATGTAACTCAGAATATGACGCAAACCTGCAATAATTAGTTAAACAACACAAATATCCTTTATGTATTTAATCCCATTCTAATAACCAATGTCTTTGCTTCTGACCTTCGATGATCCAGTTCAACCATACAAAAATTACTCTAAACGAACACTTGTGTCTTTTTTTATTGCTGAAGTGTGTTGAAATTTCTTCTTCTGCATTCTACTGTACGGACGTAAATTTACTTTCCCTTCACTTTTGGTGTGAAAAGGCTTTTATATTTGCAGAAAAATAGAACTTTTTTATTTTAAAAACAAACAAGCAAGCCCTGTCCAGATTTAAAAAGTAACGCAAAAGTAACGTAACGCATTACTTTCCATAAAAAGTAACTAAGTAACGTAATTAGTGACTTTTTTATGGAGTAATGCAATATTGTAATGCATTACTTTTAAAAGTAACTTTCCCCAACACAATGTAATACTGAATACTGTAATACAGTAACATGCTTTATTTTGTGTATATATATATATATATATATATATATATATATTATTGTTTCATGAATTCTGCTCTTACTGCAATTGGGACGTGTTGTCACAAAAAAAAAAAATTTGCAATGAACATGTACTTTTTATTTCCTGGGCAACGTGCTTATTAAGAAATTATTAAGAAATAGATTTTTTTGTATTAAGAAATATTCACTGGATCAAAGAGTGTAACAGCTATCAACTATCTCCAGTTTCCGCTGTAATATAGTATTTATGTGTATAAAGTGTACTCTGGTTTTGATAGAGTATTATAATATCTATCTATCTATCTATCTATCTGTCTGTCTGTCTGTCTGTCCCTTACAACTGGATTAAATCTGTAAGTATTCAAAGTCTATTAAGCGTATACAACATTCAAACTCAAAATGTATTCGAGACATTCAGGTGAACCAATAACAGATTAATGCACTTTCCTTTTCTAGTTTTAATTCTTCAAGTGTGTTGACAAATATAGTTGTACCCAGAATATTTTCAACACAACAACTTCTAAAAACGTCCAAATATAATATAAGTTAACATTTTTGTGTATACAATTCAATCATTGGAATCCCCCCTTCCAATAGAGAGAGTGAGAGAAAGAGACATTACTGTATGGCCTTGAGCCAGCGTGTTGTCAATGTGCAATTCAACTGCATTCTACTGTACGGACGTAAATTTACTTTCCCTTCACTTTTGGTGTGAAAAGGCTTTTATATTTGCAGAAAAATAGAACTTTTTTATTTTAAAAACAAACAAGCAAGCCCTGTCCAGATTTAAAAAGTAACGTAACGAATTACTTTCTATAAAAAGTATATCAACTATCTCCAGTTTCCGCTGTAATATAGTATTTATGTGTATAAAGTGTACTCTGGTTTTGATAGAGTATTATAATATCTATCTATCTATCTATCTATCTGTCTGTCTGTCTGTCTGTCCCTTACAACTGGATTAAATCTGTAAGTATTCAAAGTCTATTAAGCGTATACAACATTCAAACTCAAAATGTATTCGAGACATTCAGGTGAACCAATAACAGATTAATGCACTTTCCTTTTCTAGTTTTAATTCTTCAAGTGTGTTGACAAATATAGTTGTACCCAGAATATTTTCAACACAACAACTTCTAAAAACGTCCAAATATAATATAAGTTAACATTTTTGTGTATACAATTCAATCATTGGAATCCCCCCTTCCAATAGAGAGAGTGAGAGAAAGAGACATTACTGTATGGCCTTGAGCCAGCGTGTTGTCAATGTGCAATTCAATGTCATGTATTTGTACTGTTATTTCATACTTTTAATGTAATATTTGTGTTTTGCTTCAATATGTGTTGTAGTCAAGGCCATCGCGAGCGGTTCATCTTATGTAGGGGTCTGGAGCAGGTCTTGTACTTAAACAGCTTTAAAGCACAAATCCCCTTTACAAACAAGGAATACAGCTTGGGACGTTCCACTTTCTTTTGGGGGAACAGTGGTTCGCTAAAGCGTTATTAACAGGTGATGTTAATGTATGTAGACCAACATTTAAACATCGTATTGTGTATTTCACCTTATAACAACAGGATCTTGTGTAAATATGAGTAAAACTGGAATATTAGTATTTAAATGGATTTTACTCATGATTAACAAAACCCTATTCGGAAGTTGGTATCTTCCACTCGCCAGCTGATCGGCCTCGACTCCCGGTGCGGTCCATCGGACTGTACGCGGCCGTTAATTTCTTGATTTTTGTCTAAATTACGTCGAATTCATAGTAACGGCTGCTCATGTCCACATCTTTCACTTCTTACGCTGCGTTTTCAGCTCGGGGATTTCGTTGCAAAGCATTTTTGATTAAACGTCGAGCCGAGGAATTCCCGCACAAGCACTAGGCCGCAGCGGATCCCCGGTGTTTCCTGCTGAAACCTGCCGCCGTCACATCGCCACCATGGGGGACACGGGAAGCGAGCGCAGCAAGCCGCCTAGCATTCCTCCCCGCTGCCCTTGTGGATTTTGGGGGTAAGACGATTCATTTTACACGTGAGTGTACCTGTGCGCCGAATTTGATGCGGAAAAGGCGATAAATGTGAATGAAATGTGGTATGTTTGTTGTTCATTGTTGTAGGCCGATGGATGGGGGTGGGGAACAACCACTCCTGTTTTTCACATCCACAGCTGCTGTTTCCTCTCGAACACACACTTAAAACACATGCACCCAACAAACACACATTACATTTAAAAATCTAGGCTCATCAAAAGCAGATTTGGGCGATTTAGTGGTTTTTAACGAGCCTTGTGAGCTGGACTGACAGATCCCTCATATCTCACTGTCCTCTATCACAGTGTTTCCCAACCTTTTTTTAGTCGCGGCACCCTTTGGAAATTTTAACAAACTTGTGGCACCCTACAAAATTAATTTTGTCAATGTTTCCTGTCGGCTCAATTTTTGAGCATGAATGGTATACGAGTGGAGCGACTGAGCGGACACACATGCATAGAGCGGGATAATACACAGAGCGTCACACCACGTGAAAGTGAAACCCGAGCGGTGAACTCATTTTTTATCACAATCATTGGCTGTGTTTGAAAACCTTATCTAGACAGCATTTTTGGCATTATAGTTTGTAAAATGTTAGTTTTATATTGAAAAAAAACGTAGTGAACTTGACGTTTTTAGCATCATAGGCGTTTGCAGGATTTTTGGCATCAAATTAATTTTTGGCATTATAGTTTGTAAAATGTTAGTTTTATATTGAAAAAAACGTAGTGAACTTGACGTTTTTAGCATCATAGGCGTTTGCAGGATTTTTGGCATCAAATTGGACGTCGGTTTTTGTTTTGTATTCAAAATCTAGTGTACTGCCTACCTAGACAACATTTTGAACATTAAAGGTGGCATAATTGTTGGATTGTATTTCAGAACCTAGTAAGCTGTCTAACTAGACAGCTTTTTAGGGCATCACAGGTGACATTGTGCTCTCTATTAAAAGATTGTGTGTTGGCTTCATTGACCAAGGGGTTTCAATCTTTTAGATGCTACAGACCCCGAATATGATCATCGTTATTTAAGGGACCCCCATCCTAGAATTAAAAAGGCAGCTATGGATTTTTTTTATGTATAAAAGATCCAATATATGCTATGAAAAATTAATGTTAATATAATTTTTTTTTGTGGAAAATATTTTTAGTTTTTATACCATTATTGTGTTACGCAGTTTGTATACCTACTGTATTATTTATCCATTTTAGTATTTTTTTTAAATAATTTTTTTGTATTTTTAAAAATGTATTAAATCAATTATTTATATTTTTAAAATTATGTATTTATTTATTTATTTAGACTGTTTTATTGTTAGCTTTTCCATGGACCCCTAGCACTTCATTGCGTCCCCCTTGGGGTCCTTTTGCCCCAGTTTGAAAACTCTTGTCCTATACAACATTTTGGATTTTTTTTTTTTACATGCTTCCTACATAGACAGCATTTTTGTCATGTAGGTGCTTACATCAGGTTTTGGCATCATTGAGATAAACAATAAAGTGCTGTATGTCAAAACCTATTTGATGGCCTATCTAGACAGCATATTGAACATTTGATACACACCTCCGATGATTTCAAATGCTGTCTAGGTAGACACCTCCCTGGGTTTTGAGACAGCCATGAAAGGCTAATGGCAGTTTGACTTTTTCTTGAGTGACACATCAATCAGGGCTCTTCTTCGAGCACGTGTCAGGCTCACAGGTGCAGTCATTTGACACTCCTTGCTGTCTGTGCTCCAAACAAATGCATCAGATTTGGGCAAGACCAAGACAGACCTCTGACAGGTGATCATTCAACAGCCTTTTATTAGCCATTTGTCCATTTGCTTTCATTAAAAAAATTAGATGATATAGTGATGGTTGGATCAAATGCTGATGGTACACCAGTAATTACATGTTTCATGGCTCGTGTATCAGGTAATTTAATCACATAAAGCCCCTCTCACTTTACCCGTGACTAAGCTATTATAAAATAGGCTCAACCTGCTGTTTTGTGTAAATTAGATTGTAGATCTGTTGATGGTGTCCTTGATTTGTTAGGTCAGGGTTTCACAAATAGGCATTTAGGGAACTGAATGTGATAGAAATTCCTACTAACTCTACATAAATATTTTCAAAATAGACTAATCAATGGTAGATCGGACACATTTATCAACTTGTCATCCAAAAACCAATTAGAAGACCATTGTGGTCCATCCAGTCCAACAGTGCAAGCTTCACTGAACCAGTGTTGTGAGTTTGGGGTGGGACTACCTGTTTGAAGACTGATTCTCTTTGGTGCTGGAAAATGCAATGTCATGTTTCATTCCAGCTCATGTGAGAATAAAATCCATTCAGTGTTTACCATCGCATAAACTGTTTTACTGGAAATCTTACTTTTCACAGAAATCTACAATGCATTAATGTTAGGTTCTGTTAAGATGAAGTTTGAGTGAAAAGAAGTAATAGCAATAATATATTAATGACCCAATTGAGTGCTGTCATTGTCATTTGTTCAGAAGCATTTTCTGGACTTAAGTCAAGGTTTACTTCAAGGTGTGTTCATTACTTCATTTTATGACACATGATGAATAATCTACAAATTGGTCTCTTCATTATCATTATGATCACTGCAGTCATTTTCAGCTCTCTTCTTTAAATGTGTCATGTTTGTGTGACTGAAAGACTCAAATAGATTGTAGCAGTGGTTTATTTTGGACTCTTTATTCGAGTGACACAGTTGCTGTCATTGAAGATGCACATGAGATTTGAAACTGGACGTTAACATAGCACATCATATCTGGCTTTTGATGGCTGTGTTTCCTGCAGATTTAAACCACAGCCCATCTCTATTCTGAATCCTTGACTGTTTTTCCCTTTCAGACTCAGACTTTAATAGACTGACTGGTTTGCTTTGTGCAGAGATATATGAAATGATACAGTAAATGTCCTAAAAAGATGTATGTTGAATCAGCCTTGTAAGAATTGACAATGCATGGTTCTGTTTGCTTGTATATCAGATGTTTAAAGTTTTACCATTAACAAATCGTCATGGTGGATTGTTTAGTGTGTAACAATTAGTTGCTTATGATTTAACCTGTTAACCCGCACCTGGACACCGGCGCACTGAACGCTCTTTGTTTGCATGTGTCAATGTTTACGAATAGATTAAATGAAAAGGGACATAATTAATCTTGACAAACTATATTATCATTCTAAAGGTCTAAGCCTCAAGCATCGACGATAGATCGCAGGTGGATGCTGCACACTGGTGGTGGTTGAGGTGAGACCCCCCATATGATTGTGAAGCGCTTTGGGTGTACAGAAATATACAAGAAAGCATTATATAAATGCCTCATTCATTAATTCAAGCATCGATGATAGATCGCTGTTTTTCAATGGAAAGCTTATAAAGAGTGTATTTGCTAAATTTGTGTAAGCAGTACACATCAAAACATGCATAATCAAAACGCAGTACGTACCAGATTCATCGTAATAACGAGTCATAAATGCATCCACAGCTGTAAATCCCGGTTTAGTTAGAAAGGTAAGGGTCCACTGAACAACATTTTATAGAGCACTTTTAGTCCAACGAAGCAGTAACGTTGTAATATGGATGGTAATTCCTTTGTTTACGTCTCATTTCTTTGGGGACAGTTATTGTTTGTATCCGTTATGGAATAACTTGCGCTCAAAAAACTGCATCTTGGTAGTAAAAAGCAACATGGTTTTGTAGCATACAGTGTCACAAACAGAATGAGACCATCTACTAAAAAAAAAGTCAAAGATACGCGGAATATTGTTCATTTGAGTTCTGGCGCTCTCTTGTGATGGATCTTGACGCACGCTGTGACGCACCTGTCATCTGTTGGGGGCGTAACTTAGCGATCGGCTTTTTGCACAAATAATTCTTTTTTTTCTTCTTCTTCAACATTTTTCATGTATGTGTGTGTGTTTTGTGGGGAATGTGGCTGTATCTGCATGATTACCATCTGTATGACCGCACATCAGCGTGTGATTACTGTGTGTATGACAGCTATCAGTGTGAATGCGGTCTATATGAATAGAGTGTGATTATTGACTATATGGCCGTCCATCTGTATAATTACTATCTGTATGACCGGCCATCAGCATGTGATTACTGACTGTATGAGCAGACATGGTCTCAGAAAAATGGTTGCAGGAACCTCATCTTTCATGGTATCTTCTTCAGATTTGAAATAGAAACTCATGAGACGTGTGACTTTCAACCCATTACTTTTCTGAATTGCTCCAGGACTGATTTCATGTATTTTTATATGAAATAAAAAAAAATTCAGTGTGGTACAATTTTTTTCAAGGCACTTCAGTGTCTATAACTTTTTATCTTTTTGAGCATTATCAACTCTGGATGATGGATAGCAAAGCCCAAAGGGTCTTCTTTCCAAAGACACCATTTGCTGAATAAAAAGGGCAAACTCGCCATCATTCTTTCTGTTTTCGTTAAGTGGACACACGCACATACCACCTCATTTGTTCTTGTTCTTTTTCTTTGCCATTGAATAGATCAATGCTACTGCCAAATGTTTACGAAACTGTTCTTCTCTTACAGCTGCCATCGTTGTTGTGTTTAGGGGGTACACGCGGGCGGCGTGACACATGTTTACAACCCCGCCTCCAGGAATGTTCGAAAACAGTATACCGTCGCTTAGCCTTTTCAAACTTATTTTTGCCCTCAAACGAAGAAAGAAAAAGAACTTCGTTTGAAGTATATCGGGGCCTTAACAGGTTAACTGTTGCAAGTTAGTCTGACTGAATCTTCTGTCATCATTTACAGTCAGTATTTTTGCATAACGTGAAAGTCACTGTTTTCCTTTCACTGTGGTTTTTATTTTAAAATAACTGCAAGCTCCAAAGAAACCAGATCCTGTTTATATCTGGTTTTAGCTTTAGTTTGAATGGTCTAATGTGGACTAAATTATAGTTCACTTAAAATACTAATGGCATCTGATGTCACTAATGTC